ACCCTCTGAGTGAAGAATTTCTTCCTTGTATCTAATCTAAATCTGCCCTCTTTCAGTTTAAATCCATTGCCCGTTGTCCTATCACTACACACCCTTGCAAAAAGTCCCTCTCCAGCTTTCCTGTAGGCCCCCTTAAGGTACTGGAAAGCTGCTACAAGGTCTCCCTGGAGCCTTCTCTTCTCCAGGCTGAACAGCCCCAACTCTCTCAGCCTGTCTTCATAGCAGAGGTGCTCCAGCCCTCTGATCATCTTTGTGGCCCTCCTCTGGACTCACTCCAGCAGCTCCATGTCCTTCTTGTGCTGGGGACTCCAGAGCTGCTCTCAATCCATTCTCTGCCCAGCCTGTAGTTGTGCTTGGGATTGCCTCGACACATGTGCAGAACCTTGCACTTGGCCTTGTTGAACTTCATGAGGTTCTCACAGGCCCACCCCTCAAGCCTGTCAAGGTCCCTCTGGATGGCATCCCTTCCCTCCAGCGTGTCTACAACATCACACAGCTTGGTGTCATCTGCAAACTTGCTGAGGGTGCACTCGATCCCACTGTCCATGTCATCAGCAAAGATGTTAATAGATGGTCAGTCCTCCAGTACTGACCCCTGAGGAACACCGTCACTGGTCTCCACCTGGAATTAAACCGTTGACAGCAACTTTTTGAGTGTGACCATCCAGCCAATTCCCTATCCACCGAGTGGTCCATCCGTCAAATGCATATCTCTCCAATTTAGAGACAAGAATGTTATGCAAGACATTGTCAAATGCTTTGGACAAGTCCAGGTAGATGATGTCAGTTGCTCTTCCCTTATCCATCAATGCTGTAACCTCATCATAGAAGGCCACCAAATTAGTCAGGCAGGATTTGCCCTTAGTGAAGCCATGTTGGCTGTCACTAATCACCTCCTTATTTTCCATGTACCTTAGCATAGTCGCCAGGAGGATCTGCTCCATGATCTTGCCGGGCACAGAGGTGAGACTGATTGGTCTGTAGTTCCCTGGGTCTTCCTTTTTTCCCTTTTTAAAAATGAGGGCTATGTTTCCCCTTTTCCAGTTGGTGGGAACTTGTATGCCATGACTTCTCAAATATGATGGATAATGATTTAACAACTTCATCCGCCAGTTCCCTCAGGACCGGCGGATGCACCTCATCAGGTCCCATGGACTTGTGCACCTTCAGGTTCTTTAGATGGTCTCGGACCTGATCTTCTTCTATAGTGGGAGGTTATTCATTCTCACAGTCCCTGCCTTTGCCCTCTGTGACTTGGGCTGTGCCGCTGGAGCACTTGTCATTGAAGACTGAGGACAAAAAGTCATTGAGAACCTCAGCCTTCTCCATATCTTGGGTAACCTCTCCCGTTTCCTTCCTGAGAGCGCCACGTTTTCCCTAGTTCTCTTTTTATCACTGACATACCTATAGAAGCTTTTCTTGTTGCCCTTGATGTCCCTGGCCAGATTTAACTCCATCAGGTCAGGGCTTTAGCTTTCCTAATCTGATCCCTGGTTGCTTGGATGATTTCTCTGTATTCTTCCCAGACCACCTGTCCTTACTTCCACCCTCTGTAGGCGTCCTTTTTGTGTTTGAGTTGGTCCAGGAGTTCCTTGTTCATCCATGCAGGCCTCCTGGTGTTTTTGCCTGACTTTCTCTTTGTTGGGATGCACTACTCCTGAGATTGGAGGAGGTGATCCTTGAATATTAGCCAGCTGTCTTGGGCCCCTCTCCCCCTCCTAGGCTTTATCTCATGATATTCTACCAAGCAGATCCCTGAAGAGGCCGAAGTGTGCTCCCCTGAAACCCAGGGTGGTGAGTTTGCTGTACGCCCTCCTTGCTGCCCTAAGGATCTTGAACTCCACCGTTTCATGATCACTGCAGCCAAGGCTGCCCTTGAGCTTCACATCCCGCACTAGCTCCTTGTTGTTGGTGAGAACAAGGTCCAGCATAGCAGCTCTCCTCATTGGTTGCTCTATCCCTTGCAGAAGGAAATTATCATCAACACATTCCGGGACCCCCCTGGATTGCCTATGCCCTGCTGTGTTGTCCCTCCAACAGATATCAGGGTGGCTGAAGTCCCCCATGAGGACCAGGGTTCGTGAATGTGAGGCTGCTCCTATCTGTCTATAGAGGGCCTCATCCACTCTGTCTTCCTGGTCAGGTGGTCTGTAGCAGACCCCAACTACAATGTCACCCGTCCCTGCCCTCCCTTTAATCCTGACCCATAGGCTCTCAGTTGGTTCCTCATCTGTCCCCAAGGGGAGCTCCACACACTTCAGCTGGTGTTTGACAGAGGTTGACACTTCTTCCTCATCACCCCTGCCTGTCCTTCCTAAAGAGCCTGTATCCTTCCATTCCAACACTGCAGTCACAGGATCCATCCCACCACGTCTCCGTGATGCCAATAAGGTCATAGCCCTGCAGACGTGCACACATCTCTTAATTCCTCGTTTATTCCCCATGCTAAGTGTGTTTGCATAGAGGCATTTAAGTCATGCCTCTGACGAAGCTGACCTACTGGCTGGAATTCCCTTCTGCTGCACTTCAGGTGCTCTCAGCTTGTCTTGATCAAGCCTGATCTTATCCCCCTCCTCCTTCACGTCTAGTTTAGAGCCCTGTCAATGAGCCCCACTATCTGATGACCAAAGATCCTGGTACCCCTTTGAGAAAGGCGAGTCCTGTCTGGTGGCAGCAAGCCTGGTGCTGCACAGGCCATCCTGTTATTGAAAACGCAAAATTGTGGTGGTGACACCAGCCACAGAGCCATGTGTTAACAGACTGGGCACATCTCCTTCTTCCAGAAGTGCTGACCAGGGCTTCTAGAAAGGCAGGTGACAGATACCCTTAGTAGATGATTGATCAGAGCATCAGATGTGAGCCAACATACCCGAACCCTGCTGCTACTGCTGTTACAAAGGTGCTTCAGCTCAGTTGGTGGTGTCTGGAAGGAACTTGGGATCACTCAGTAAGGCATCTGCACAGGACAACAAAGTGTTGTCTTACAGCTCTCGTATTGAGTGACAGTACTTCAGGCCTTACATTCACTTTTCAGTTCGGTTAACACAGAGGAGCAAGTTTCTCCACTCCTAAATTATAGATGGGAAAGTTGAAGCTTCAAATCACACATCATTCCATGACTATGGAAAAACCTTTAGTGTACTAATTCCCAGGTGAGACACCACTTTACAGATTATCTGCTGGGCTGAGAGTATTGCTGAAGTTCTACCAGTATCCTTCTAAACCACTACTGATAAAAAAGTTCTACCTGCTCAGAGTAATTGTTTTGAGAAGTACTGTACTAATACTTAAAACCCCTCACTCGTTAAATACTTGCATTTAGTAGTGATTTTTGTCCGAAACTTACACTTGAACCAAGGTGGGGGAAAGAAAAAAAAAAAAGATGGGAAGTGTACTTTACTGGACCTCACAGCTAAATAATCCAGAGATGTTGATTCTTCAAAAGAAGTTGGAAGATGGGGAGATCTGCAGACTGGTACAGCTGATGTGAACAGTAACGCAGGTAACAAACTCCCAAATCAACTCTGAAAATCACAGAATTTTTCACTTGCTAGCAGAAAGGCTGAAGACGCTGTTCTGACAAACGGAAGCAGCAAATTATTTTCTTGTGGAAATGTATAGCATTAATTAACATTTTTCTGCCAATTTAAACCAAATAGTGCTCAGACCTGATAAGGATGTCTTCACTGCAAACCAGTGAAATTCCT